CACGGGGACTACAGTTACCTTCACCTTTCAGGCTATTTCTAATTCTTTCTCAAATCCTTGGTGTTTATCAATGATGTTTCCATCATTTTGGATGGTCATATTGATCCCTACAACCTTCCTTTGCTGCTTACCAATGATCTAAATGTGTGGTTGGTTGGTCAAAACCAATTCAGTTGTTTGTACCTGTGTCTTTCTCAACCACCTTGACAGGTGTCTCCAAATTTGACCTGGGAGTCTGCACTTTGTATTCTGCGCAGAAGTTTCTGAAAACTATACATATATGCAGGATTTTTTCCTCCCATGATGTTTCCTCGAGTTCCTTCAATTTCAGCTTCCACTGTCTGAGACATTCACTAAGTGAGTAATACCTAGGGGCCATCTTCCTTGTATTCTTGAGGTTTGGATGTTTATTCTTCAGTGGTGGCTATGATGCTCACCAGGCAAGCCTCCTTCTTTGCGCTTATATGTTGTCTGTAGATACTTTTGGTTGGAATCCACCATGTATGGTGAGTCATTTATGGTGTTTTAACATCAGTAACCTGACTTTTTCTCCTTAAGTCAGAATATTATCCAAGGAATGTATAAGGCATTGCTATCAATGAACCTGTCAGGTTGGGTGGAGGTTTGAGAGGAGGCCCCAAATGCAGAGGCTGAACTGAAGGTGGTTATTTGAGGAGGTGTAAATATATAGGAGACAGAAACAAAGACCAGGCAAATCAGCAGATTGGGAGCAGGTGTCGACAGAGGAGTCTAGAAGGGAGCTACTGAAAATGAGATACCAAAGAACTTAAATACAATCAAATATGACTAGAACCACAAAATGGAAATTAAATGAATGAAAACTCAAAGATAAAACCTAAACAGAACCAAAACCATGACAGAACCATGTTCTTACCATTGAGCTATCTTCTCAGAACTTGCCTTACTCGTTGAAGGTATTTCACTGTTGCTGCTTTTCCTGTTGCCTCTTCATGGTTGCCATTTGCCTCAGCTTTTCCAAGATACTCATAGCTCTCTTCTATGTCTGCTATTCTCCCTCTGGGAGTGTGACCACCCCCTGTCTCTGTTGCTATCCGGTCACATTTCCCTAGCTTTGCTGGTGTGGATCAGTGCGTCAATGTCTCGCTTAGTGTCAGCATAAAGCTTGATATCATCCATGTACAGCAGGTGGCTGATCATTGCCTCATTTTTAATTCAGTGTTCATAGCCGGTCTTGCTGAGGGGGTTCAGGTCTGTGTAGAACAACAGTGGAGACACAGCATCCCCTTAGTATATTCCACGTTTATTGGAGATTTTTGCAATTGGCTTGAAGTTTGCCCTAAGTGTGGTTTTCCACAGCACCATGGAGTTTACAATGACAGCCCTTAGAGTGCTGTTGATCTTGTACAGTGACAGGCCTGTCAGGATCTTGTAATCAAGCAAGGCTGTGCACGTGTTTGTTTGTCTGGTTTTGCAGTCCTGGGCGACTGTTCTGTCAACCCACAGTTTAAATGCCTTTCTGTGCCCCTGCCTGTGTTTATCTATGTGCCAGCTTATCTCTGCTACTATGATATGCGGATCCATTTGTAAAGTTAAGCAGCAAAAATTAGGAGCAATATTTATGATTATTTAGCGTGTTTTAAGAGAAAAATAACAGGTTATTTTTTTCCAAGTCATTTTTTCAATATGCCATTCATTCATTCATGATGGGTATAAGTTGCTAGCCCATATGCAGAACACACTCAGGAGGCAGGGAAAAAGTTCAAAGGTTTATTTATAATATGGAACAAAGCAGATCAGGATGTCATCAGGTCCAGGGCTGGTCACGGCTGGGTTGCTGACCTGGAGCTGAGCAGAGCAGCAGAGGGGATTAATCCTAGGAGGATTCTGAGGCTGGCCGCTGACTGAGGGCTTGGAGGAGGCTTGGCTTGGCTGGGGCTAGTTGATCTTCAGGTCTAGGGTTCAGAGGCAGACGGCAGGCTGAGGGCTGAAGTTTGAGCTGAGCAGGCTGAAGGAGGGAACCAGGAGGGTTCAGAGGTAGACGGAAGGCTGAGGGCTGAGGTTTGAGTTGAGCAGGCTGAAGGAGGGAACTAGGAGGGTTCAGAGGTAGACGGAAGGCTGAGGGCTGAAGTTTGAGCTGAGCAGGCTGAAGGAGGGAACCAGGAGAGTTCAGAGGTAGACGGAAGGCTGAGGGCTGAGGTTTGAGTTGAGCAGGCTGAAGGAGGGAACCAGGAGAGTTCAGAGGCAGACGGCAGGCTGAGGGCTGAGGTTTGAGCTGAGCAGGCTGAAGGAGGGAGCCAGGAGGGTTCAGAGGTAGACGGCAGGCTGAGGGCTGAGGTTTGAGCTGAGCAGGCTGAAGGAGGGAACCAGGAGGGTTCAGAGGTAGACGGCAGGCTGAGGGCTGAGGTTTGAGTTGAGCAGGCTGAAGGAGGGAACCAGGAGGGTTCAGAGGTAGACGGAAGGCTGAGGGCTGAAGTTTGAGCTGAGCAGGCTGAAGGAGGGAACCAGGAGGGTTCAGAGGCAGTCGGCAGGCTGAGGGCTGAAGTTTGAGCTGAGCAGGCTGAAGGAGGGAACCAGGAGGGTTCAGAGGTAGACGGCAGGCTGAGGGCTGAAGTTTGAGCTGAGCAGGCTGAAGGAGGGAACCAGGAGGGTTCAGAGGCAGACGGCAGGCTGAGGGCTGAGGCTTGATTCTCCAGGGTTCTGCTGAGATCAGGCAGACCAATCTTCAAAAGAGAAACTCTTCTGGAGGTTTTTGGTTTCAGGCAGGTTCCTCCTGAGAAGCAGAGAAAACAAAAGGTTCAGGTTCAGGTTTAGCAGTCTTGAAGACTAGACAGGCAGGTTGGCTCTGGGTTTGCTGTACCGTGACTGACTAACACTATGGCACCGGAGTGTGGTCCTCAGCCCACTCAAAGGAATAGTACACCCAAAACATGATTAGCCTTCATTTTCTACTCACCCCCATGCTGAACAACACCCTGGAGTACTTTTTTGATATCTCAAATGCATCTGGAGATCTGGGAGGCTTCTTGCTGTCTGCTGACATTCAAATAATGGAGGTCTATTGTGCCCGAGACAGAAAGGTCCATAAAAGTCCACAAAAAACGTGTCAATATTCCTCCATACTGCTCGTCCAATGTATTCCAAGTGTCCTGAGTGGGTAGCATCCAGAATTTACTCGAAACAAAGTAATTTAGAATGTTTTTAGAGCATAAACAGTAGTGTATAGGATTTCCTAAAAGCGCGCCCCTGCGAGTTCACGACTCTACGGAAACCGCGGCAGACCAAACCAGATGAAAGTGCGCATTCAGCTCGGCAAAGAACTCATGCTCTTCCTCAACACTGAAGTCCTCAGACATTTTTCTTTCGTTGTTTCTTTCTTTGCACAGGTAAACAGCAAATTTCTTCTTCTACGCTTGCATTATCAAGAGCAGACGCTGAATGCGCACTTTCATCTGGCTTGGTCTGTCGCAGTTTCCGTAGACTCGTGAACTCGCAGGCCCGCGCTTTTAGGAAATCCTATAAGCGCGGGCTTATAGGATATAGCTATATATAGCTATATCCTATAGCTATATATAAAATTGAGAAAATCAAATTGTTACCTTCCATGGACCTTCTGGTCAAGAAACGGGGTTCCATGTTGGTTTCTAATGGTTGGAACTGAATTTTAATTGGCCAAAGCTACTGAAAGCAAATAGGCTATCAAGAAATATGGAGTAGAGAGCAGGAGCTTTGAAATGTGGGACCCTGAGATACTAACTGTCATGATCGGTTTTACGAATCTGACCCACATGTGGAGAAACCACTCAGAGAGCACGGGAAAAGTTTAACAGGTTTATTGTGGAAGTCAACAGGAGTAGTATGTGGTAGTGAGCTGGTGAACTGGAACTGGAAGTAAGAAGGGAAGTTCAGAGGTCAGTTCAGGGACCGTTGGAATCTAGGATGCTCTTAGATAATGCAGGAATGGGACTCACGTTTGAGGGGGGCCTAGTTAGTCCTTGAATCCAGTCTGTGTGGGGCATCCAGTGAAAAAAGCACACGTTGGAGGATGGACAGGTAGACAAGCATCAGACCCGGAGGAGTAATGGAGCGGATTGTCACTAGGATTTCAGATGGGAACTTGAACGGAACATGTGGAGGTTTTCCCCTGCTCAGTGTGAACTTGTTATTTCCTTCCACGGGGGAGAAGTTTCAGGTATCCAGTAAAACAAGAAAGCTTCCTACTGGAGTCCAAAGACAAAGAACTCGTTAGACTCAGAGAAACAAAGCTAGGTTAGACTTAGCTAATTCCAGCTTGGCTAGAGTACCCAAAACTGGCAAACACTCTGGCGTCGAGGTAGTGACAGCCCACTGCTCAAATACTCCTCCAGATAATGGTCCAATGAGCCGCAGGTGTGCAGGGAGGGACAGCGAAGACAGGGCACCTCCTAGTGGTGGAAAAAAGGAAACACAAACAGGCCACACAAACTGGATTCCTAACATTAACACAACATCTATATACTATAATGAAGAGAAAGAAGTTGAATATTTTGTGTGCACAGGATGTGATGGAAACATAGCAAATGCTAGACGCTCATAAGTAGATTTAGGTTTTTCTTCCATGGTGTCAATACGTAGAACAATTTAGTACCAATTTTAAATGTTTCCATAGTCCAAACTAATTGAATAAAAATGCTTAAATTGCCTGGCTCTGAACAAGAGGACCTAGTTGTCAAATAATATATACAAATAAGTAATAGCTGTATTAACAATACATGTAAAAGGAGTTTTAGGGGGCCCCCCAGGAACTTGGGGCCCTAGGCAACTGCCTAGTTTTGCCTAATGGTAAATCCCCCCCGGTTATGGTGAAAAAAATGTGTCAAATTTGTAAATCTACATAATTCTATTCTTTTAATCTTCTTGTCTTAGTAACATTCTATCGTAACTCTTTAGTTTACCCTAATGACTTGAAAGTTCTTTTTTTATGTATTTCGTCCCTCATAGATTTTTCACTGGATTTACAGGTGTTATTCTCTTTCAGGAACATGGAGGCTATCTTGCTTGGTTGTTTTACATCTGCTATGCAGCCTAAGCAAACAAACATTGTTTTCCTCAAGACCCACAAAACGGCTAGCTCCACTATGCAGAGCCTCCTGTTTAGGTTTGCAGAGCGCCACAACCTGACGATGGCATTTCCCAAACCAAGTTGTTCACTACAGTTTTGCTACCCAGCTTTCTTCTCCTCTAACTTCGTCCATCCAGACACACTGCCAGCAAACATGATCACCAGCCACATGCGCTTTAGGAAGTCTGCACTGCAAAAACTAATGCCAAAAAATACGAGATATATCACAATCCTAAGAGAACCAGCTGCCATGTTTGAATCATTGTTTACATATTACAGCCCCTATGCTAAAAGTTTCAAGAAAGTACCTGATGGCTCTCTGAAAACCCTCATGCAGGATCCCTTACGATACTATGAGCCAAATGATGAATATTCCTATTATGCACGCAACACCTTGACCTTTGACTTGGGTGGAGAAAACAATCGGCCAGCTACAGATGTGGCTTATGCACATGACTTTGTGGAAGAGGTTGAGAAAGTGTTTTCCCTAGTGATGATTTCTGAGTACTTTGACGAGTCTCTTGTTCTCCTTCGCAAGCTTCTTTCTTGGGATTTGGAAGACATCCTGTATATAAAGCTAAATGCTCGGACAGAAACTTCCAAGAAGAAAATATCTCCAGATCTGGTTGAAAAGATCCGAGCCTGGAATTCCATAGATGCATACCTTTATGACTACTTTAATGCAACATTGTGGGTCAAACTGTCAGATCTGGGACTAGATTGTGTGGCGAAGGAGGTGCAACTTCTTCGTCAGGCCCAAGAGAGGCTAATAAAAAGATGTTTTGGTAGTGAGACGCCAAGGGAACAACCAGGTTCACAGATTAAAGACAAGGATCTCCGTCCATGGCAGCCCAGTAAAGAAGTAGGAATTGTGGGTTATGTCCTCCCGGAAGACATGGACCAGGAGACACGCACACACTGCTTGAAGTTTATAATGCCCGAGGTCTCATACACACCAAAACTTCTTCATTCCCAGTTGGAACGACAGGATCAAAGCCGCCAAAACCAAACTACTACAAAACCACCCACTGTCAAACAGCCCACATTATAATCCTGTCTTGGATTTCTCTTTTACAGCCACCGAGCTCTGTCGTTCCACTCTGTCTCAACAACTCAAACGTATTCCGTAGCCAGCAGCATATATTGCAAGTGTTACAGCCTTAGTTTTTAGGCAACATGGCTTTTTAGATTTGGAAGTTATATTTAGATAAAGCACTTTAGATAAGAGATACTTTGTTGTTCACTTCAGGGCATATAAAGCTAATTACAAAATAAATGAAGAAAAAGTTATTGATACCTGTATTGAACAAGAATATCCTTTTTCATCTCTGAAATTTACTTTTTCTTTGCATTCTTTAAATGTTTTCTAACTTACTATTGTGTATTTCTGTGTTAAGTGCTGTTTTTAGTGTAAAGGGTATTTAAAGCTACAGTGTGTAACTTTTAGCGACATCTAGTGGTCAGACTGCAGACTAAATAGATAATTTTACAGATAGTATTTCATTAGTCTGTGTAGGGTATAGATTTAATGTAGACTTAAGATAATAAATATACCCGTTATTTTTTCTACATCGTTGTGACATTTTGGCGATCTCGCAATCGCTAGTTTGTTGGCTCTGCGCTGCCGTAGCGCAAAGATGTCTGCCTCCATGGCTGCGAGACCCGCTCCTATGTAATTATAAATAACGAATTCTAAGGCAACGCAAATATTAAGGTTAAGAGGCTGAGCTCGTAGATGATGATAAAATAACATAGTTATGTATAATATATTACATTTCTGACTGTATATCCCTGTAATTATTACACACTGTAGCTTTAAAGGTACAATTCGGGTACAATGCGGGTGCATTCAGTATTAATCCCATTTTTATGTGTGCATCTGTTCTTTTAAAGGTCTTCATTGGTCATTGTTTATACTTCATTGTTTTCAAGTCAGCCTTTTACTGTTGTTGAGAACAGTTTATTATTATGTAAATAAGCGTCAGGGTTTTTTGGTTTTCCGGTAAAATGTCACATTGGTTTGCAGTGTGGGAGTTTACTTAAGCTTTAAGTTTTTTTTTTTTTTTTTTTTTTTTTTTTTCTTTTTTTTTTTTTAGGGTTTTAACTCTAACTAATCATGATTGTTTGTAAAAAGTAAAAATCATTGGCCTATACGTTTTTTTGATGAATTATGGATCATTTGATAAATACAATTTTGAATGCTTTCATTTAACTTGGCAAAAACGGCTTCTAATTTTATGATTCCTCTTACTTGTCTATTCTGATGGGGACTGATTTGAATCACTAAACTTTTGTTGTTTTTTTGCAACAAATTTTCATTCAGTACTCTTGTTAAGTTTCAGACCAAAGATTTTCCAGTTCTTAAATGGGCCGGTGCTAGAATCAGTTATCAACTGGTCCTATATAATAACGGGCTTGCTTTTCATCATCCCAAGGCCAAGTCAGTGCTATGCCAAGTCAGTATTATGACCTGACTGGGCTCTGGGATTTTTTTTAGAAAAATTGCTGAGTGCTGAGACTCACACAACTTATTCACACAAATATTTATTTATAAATTTATAACTTATATATTCCCCTGCAAATAAATAGTTTAGGAACACCACCTTAGTTCATCTATGCTGTTTTGAATCTAGCTGTGATCTTCAGGCAATAAAAAAAACTCAGCTATTAGATGAAAGATATATTAACATAAATAAAATATGTATTAAAAAATATATTTTTCATTGCCGTAATCTGTTTGATAGAAAAAAGTCTATTGGTGAACTCCTTTTCTCTCATATTTAAAAGACTATTACAAACATTATTTATATCAAAGATTTTTTTTCCTTAAATAAAAGGAAAACCAATTACATTTTGTGCCTCCTCTTTCCAACCATGTTAAAACTGAATAATTCATTTACAAAAACCTCTAAATATTAAATAACAACTTTATTCTTATTTTATTCTAATAACCAGGTAGAGTCATTTAAGATTTCTAAAGCAAAAGCAGAAACTAATTGTTTGGAAAGAATGTTGTTTATTTGAATAACAAAAATAAAATAACAGATAATCCCTCAGGAGCTAAAGTCTAATCAAATGCAAAAATTTACATAACACAAAAGAATAGGAGATCTGGGTAGATGATGAGAGGACATAAAGGTAACTTCTCTCTTCATCATCAATCGTTAGATTGCTTCCAGTCTAGAATTGGTGCATCTTAAACACCATTATTTGCCGGAAGATTTTGGTTTCACAAAAGTCCTTTGCTTTAGATTGTTTAGCCTAATTCTTGCTTTTAGAAAGGCTCTTTTCAAGCATTTTTTCAAATATTGTTGACCTAATTTAGCTTAGTTTTTCCAAAAGCTTTTACAAATATGGTAGCACTTGTTTACATAGTTTTCATCATGAATCCTAAAACTAATTTTCAATTGAGTTGAGACAGTTTGCCATTTATTTGGCAGGTAATAAAGGAGGAAATTAAAGTAGTAGGTATATATTTAAGGTAGGCTGACATATTCAAACTAAAAGCTGAAGGTGAAACTAATTTCCCCATCACTAAAAGCTGTATATTCTCTATTTGAAATGCAGAAACAGTCCAGAAGATACTATTTCAACTCAGTATTCCAGCTAAGAATATTTCTCTTAGTCATAACCTAAAGTGTTTGCGCTGTGATATGTTAATTTCTACCTCAGTTCCTCCAAGCTTCCCCTTTTCTTTCAGCCCAGTGTTCTCTCCAGCCTCTTTGTCAGGTTCAGTTGGTGAGGCATCTGTGGAAAGCTAAATGTAATCCAGCAATGAGTCACAGAGCAAGAGGAGGCAGTGCAGCACAGAGGTTTTAGTGTGTTTTAGTGAGTAAGAGTGTGCTGGAACAACGCAGGATCACAGAAGGCTGGCAGGGTGAGCAGTTTGAGCAGCTTATCTGAGATAATATGAGTTCACCCCAGCTCCCGATAGGAGCTCCACTGTGTTTCTAAAGGTCTTACTGACATGAAATTCATGATTTATTTCGTGCTTTTTCAGTCCCCTTGAAAAAATAGAATTGATGGTTATAGATTTAGTTCTCTCAGGCAGAATGTAGTTCTCTCAGGCATGTAACCACTTAATGGTCGTCTGCTACTGTTGTAGAGGAGCAGTTTTTGAAGATAAGCCAGTTTTAAAAGTTATTGTATACTTTTCGATTTGCTAGTTCCTAAAAGCCAGAAAAAATACATCTTTAGCTTTCTGGAAAATAAAAAATGTAGAATTTTTTTATTTATCAATGGTTTTCAAAAAAAGGTCGGGAGGGAAAACTGAAGGAAAATAAAAAAAATATATATATATCAAGAATTATCATAAAGTAAATCTTCATGAAAAACTTATTTTCCTGTCTAACTAAGTAAAGAAAGGATTATTCCCAACATGGCTGATCAGTCACTGATATGCCTTTTTCCTGTTGTAAAAACTTTCTTTTGTAAGTCGTTCAAATATAGAGGTATTTAAACAAACAAATGAATAAAACAATTGAGCAAGTCGTAGATAATACACGTACGGCAATGGCAGAGATTATGGCCACCTCTCCCATTACACACACACACACGTGAGAGATGTTCTTTTGTTCTGTTTTTATCAACATTTTGTTGAAGCATTTTTTATTCAGCGAGAGTATGATATAGTTAAAAAAAATAATTATTATTTATATCCTTATGTACTAAAAATGAATTAGGGATAAAAGTAAGGAAACCTTCTAAAAGTCGATTTTTCTCACATATTTTGCGAGGAGAGCCTGGCTCCCTTTTGCAAACAACACCGTTTTTGAGGGCTATGGAACAAACAAGTTTGGAAACCCGAGTTATAGATTATAGTTCACTTTTTCCTTTTGTATCTTACAAGTTGGACCACTGAGATCATGTGCTTATTGTTCCACATCTCATAGCTGATGTAAGAATTCCCACTTTTTGTAGGATAGACAAGGCTTTCCTTTCAAACTCAATGCACATTAAAAAAAACCAAAGTTCTTTTAATATAGCTTTATAACATTAAGATTTTAAAAAGCAACAAACTCAAATCTGAATTTTCTTGTTAAAGAGCTGAATCGTGTGATAACAGCTTATAATATCGGCATTTACACTGCCATCTCCTTGGATGCAAACCAGGCTGTAACTAGAGAAAGATTTGGAGAGAAGGTTGACAAATAAAGAGCAAAAGTGATCTGAAAAAATCCAGGATGAGAAGGAAGCCTGACTCTTAACTCTGTCAGCTTGGATGGACCACGACAGATGGCTTCAACGCTATAAGGATTTTAAATTTTTACCAGAGGGACAAACTGACATTTGCTGTCATTTATGTTCACATTAAGCATTACGGGTGTAACGATTCCTGTCTGTTTCTGCCAAAGAAACTGTTGTGTGCAGTTCAGTGATGTCTCTCTCTGCTCCCTCTGCTTCAGTGGCCATCAGCTCCGAGTACTGTAGTAGTTCCACCTGCGGCAGCTCCAATTACCAGGAGCTGCTGAACCTGGGAAGAGTGATATATATTCCTGGCTCTCCCAGTTGCAAACCGCCAGATTCTTGAAAGCCATTCCTGTCAGTAGATCTTACAGTGATCCTTGTTTTGAACTCCTGATCTCGACTTGGCTCGTTCCTATTTTTTCCCGCCTGCCTTGCTCCGGTCAGATGCTCCTGTTGGTTTCTGATCTCTGTGCATCGACCTCTTCCCTTGCCACATGACCAAGGGTGTTTGCTTCCATGTCTGTTTGGATTGTCCTCTCAATAGTTTATGACCCAAGCCTGCATCCTGTCTTGGTCCCACTGGAAACCTCTTCCCAGTTAATATGCCTCCTGTTACCGATTCTCTCTCCTGGATTTTGGATACCCCTCTAATCTTGCCCTTCACGAAACCTCTTCCCCCGTCGACTGCTTTTCAATCAGGGGAGATCATGAGAAGGTGCATTGGCGGCTGGGGTGCTAGAGGGCACTAGCTAGGGTGCCACCCCAATAAATATAAAAATGACTAATAGCTTCTCCATTGTGAAAATGGTACATTTTTTTTAGGTTTGTGACACAATATTGGACCATGCGAAACACAAATAATGTTTCGTTTTATAAA